AAATCCTGCTTTATTAAATGTGAGGGTTCAATTGAGTGATTGAGTTTAGTTGTCATTTTTACATGTTAATCAAATGTTTTCTCAATTTTAAAACATCATATGGAGTTTAAGTTTAATGAATGATTACTTCAGAACTACTGAATGAAGTATGTATCCACACTTCTTCAAAAACAAAAGTGAACCAAGTAAAGAAGTTATATGAAGTTTCATGTGCTACTGTTTCTTTGTGTTGTATGGAAGCTTAGGAAATAGGTCCCATATTGTTTTTTATTATTAATTGTGGCACCTCATTTAAATCACATGATTTTTTTTATTTATAGAAAAAAGTTAGGTGAACCTTTTGTCCGGTATCCCGGTGGAAAATGGAGATAATCTCTCTGGAAGTTTAATACATATAATAATTTCTTGAGTTGTCCATTTTGGATGATTGCGTGACTACCGGGTTGAATGGCCTAATTCCCAAGATGTCCCCTTTCCGTAGTATCTTATAGCATCTCGCGAGTAGGTCTAGATACAGACCCTCCACGGTTGTTTAAACGTCAAAGAGATGCCTGTTGGAGAAGTTATTGCTTTTTCTTTGGTCCACAATAAACATCAAGAAGTCCGGTGGGAAGCATGATCTTGCCCAACAACTTCCAAAGAATAGATGGCACATTGAGAACTTTATGTCTGACTTCTCACACGAGCGAGGCGTCATGTAAAGCTTCTCCCACATAGAAGTTGTAATCCTTTGCATTTGATATTGAAGCGACGTCCTGCACAGCCGTAGCCATCACAGCGTCATTGACCACCACTAGCCTCTACATTTGCTCGTCAACTCCCAAAGAAGGTCTCATATTTGATCGCAAATATGTGACTGCTCTCATCGAGGAGTTGATGAGAACTCGTGGAATCAGAGAGTTTGGTAGTCCTTCGAGTATCTTCGATCTTGCTATTTGCCCGTCTCAACACGTCTTTCACTGCTAGAATGAAGATGTGCCCGCTCTGTTTCTACCCCATTGCTAGCTCGTTTAGCAGCTCGTCGGAGAATATTGTCCGAGTTCCGAAGGAGATGAAAACGGTGGACTTTTGAGGCATTCTATCAAGCCAATCAAGACTATTGTGCCGGTTTGTTGAGTTGTCTATTTCAGACGATTGTGTGACTACCGGGTTAAACGGTCCGATTCCCTAAACGTCTCCTTTTAGTAAGTTCTTATAGCATCACGCGAATAGGTCTAGATACGAACCCTCCATAGCTCTACACGCATCAAAGTATTGACGTTTATTCATATATTTCATAGATGTGTTCATTTACGTTATTTACGTAATTTTATTATTGCACGGTAGATCTTTTATTATATGTTCTTTGTCCTCTAGAGACTCACTTATTCATTTGTATTATATATAAATATGCGCACATGATGAATTAAGATCATGGAGAATTCCTCCACTATCCTAGAGTTTTTTTTGTTTCATTCCTAATTCATATTAACTTTATCATGGTATCAGAGCCAAAACTATGGAAACATAAATTCTAGTTTTTCGCTCTCTTATGTTTTGTAATATGGCAGTTGGTGACGCTGCCATTACAACCATATGATTGTGGTGCTAACATAATGTTTTATGTAAAGTTTGAGATATTTATATTACATATGCAGGTTTTGGGTGTTCACCTCACACCCCTTCAAAGTTTAGGTATTTCAATTATTTTTCCCTAACAAAATTGACAAAGAAACCATACACTAGTTCTACAAATATTTCAATTTGGAGAGTAATGACTCGTAATTAAAATCTTTCTAGCCAACAAACTGGTCCCTTGTATATGTAAACATATCTTAATTTTTCATATTAATCCATTTGACTTCCACTGCTATTTAAGAAAAGAAACGCCCATACCAAAGACGCCCCAGCAACCACCACCACTGCTAAGAGTGTTAACTGCACTCATAAATGCTAAAAAAAATCACAACCAAGCATTCCAGCTCGATGGATGGGAGGTTATGGTGTCTAGTGGAGGTCTCGGGTTCGAACCCCGCTAGACATAAATAGGGAAAATGAGGGAGGTCTTGCTCCCAGATCCCGCTCTAATAGCTCCGAAAAGGTTGAATACGTGTATTAAATTACGAAAGCTTGTTAATCCACAAAAAAGAAAGTACTTTTTTACATCAATATGAAAGACCAGACTAGAAGACGGATGCGGAAGGCGAGACTCTCTCACAAGGAATAAATTTCCGTTCTGGGTTATGCAGCTTTTCTTCCTTGCCCTTGGCAGTGGAGGCCGGGATCAGAGTGAACCCTTCGTCCACGGAGGGTGAGTCGGGGCCTAAGATTAGGCCGAAAGGCGTAGTCGATGGACAACAGGTGAATATTCATGTACTATCTCTTGTTGGTGTGTCCAAAGATGCGAGAGTCGTGGCACTGCGGATAACTCCAAGGTCTATACTCTTTTTTCTTTACCTCGTGTTCCTACCATCATTGGGAACAATGGAGGGGTGAGTTTGCAGAAATTGAGGCACCAGGATCAGAGGAGAGAGATAGATATGAGTTTTCGTCAGCTGATTAGCTCCCATTAGGAGCGGGACATTCCTACTTTCACGGATTTGCTCAGCGGCTAAGAAGGGAGGGGATGGTAATACAACTTTGCGGATTCGTGTGGTAGGAGGACCCCTTGTAGCACTCAGATAATTTAAAGTCTATAATTTTCCAATACTTTCTCACGATTCGTGTAGTTAACCTCCCCAAATCAAAACCTTCTCCCCGGCTAAAAGCTCACTTCCAAAGCATTATAGTAATGGTGCCCCTAAATTTAACAAATTAAAGCGAGAAGGCAATGAAAACTTCATTCATAAAGTCCTCTATTGAGGTAAATCTCTATATTTTTTGTTGAAATAAATGTATACCTAACCGCTCTTGCAAAATAACGGGACTAATTTTAGGATATCTAAGAAAGCGGGATTCGAAATTGGCTATTCCGACTAGGGAAGGGGTTGCGAATAAATACAACATACAATAGGTCCAGTCGGAATTCCCAATCCGAAATAAGTTTTTTTTATAAATAGGTCTAGTCGGAAATGCATATGCCGAAATAAGGTTTGTGGTTGGAAAGTAATGTACAAGTTGTAGTCTATTTGCCAATTCCAAAATATGGTTTGTGGTTTGAAAATGGCGTGTATGTGTTGTAGTTTATTTGCCAATTCCAAAGTTATTTAATTATTTATACTTTAAATCGTAATAAAAGTGATATTTGTAAACACACAGGATCACATCAGACAAGATCAGACTTGGACATTTATAAAATACATAAAGATAAGAAATTTATCAGACCAGATCAGATTTAAATAAACAAGACCAGACCAGACAGACCAAACCAGACTAGATCAATAAATTACAGTCCAAAAGAAAACATTCTTAAAGTGGTAGCTGGGAGTTAGTTTTATTTGATTAAATGTAACTGATTAAATTGATATGATTAAAATTTATATGATTAAAATTTATCTAATTAAACTTATCTGATTAAAATTTATTTCATTAAATCTATCAGGTATAATTTATTTGATTAAATTTATCTGATTCAAATTTATTTGATACATTTAATCTGATTAAATTTATGTGATTAAAATATTATCTATTATTATGGTTATGATTAAAATTTATCTGATACACTTTATCTCGTTAAATTTAAAGACATAAAAATTGAAACACATAAAAGTACATTAGTAATTCAAACATTTACTAATGTACTATATGTGTACACCTAGCATTCTTTTATAATGACGTAATTGCTATGGACTATGTAGTACATAGTATACAATTTCCTTATTATAATTGCTATAACTGAAAAGTGTAGCCAAATTAGGAGAGAGTGTGGAAAAATATGAAAGAGAACATAAAAGTAAGAGTAATTGAATATTTTAAAAAGAATAACTTCGCAAAAAGGGAAAATGTAGCAAACCTTTAAATATATTCAAAAAAGAAAATTGTAGCAAACTTTAAAATACAAAGGGAGTATTACTTTACTGCTTGGGAGTATGTAGTATATAAAGTATATGATGAATACATAATAAGTAGTACTACCCCCGTCCCAGTAATATTGAGACCAAAGGAGATGACTCAATTATTAAGAAAAGAGAGTTTACGTAATTGATATAGAATTGATAAAGTAATAAACCAAATTTGATATGAAACAATTTTTAGTGGGATTTTCCGAAACGGTAAAATGGGACAATCATAGTGGGATGAAGGAGTATATTTTATTGCTACGGATTATTTAATAAGTATATACTCCGTATTACATATAGCAAATTTTCTTATGAAAGGCACATAACATGACGACCAGATCACAAACCAGAGATTTCCCCTGGGTCTAGTTTTTGTATTTACTTTGTATTTCTTTTCTGTACATTTTTCCCTTTACTTTTCGTTTTGCATTGTAATTTTCTTATTTTTTGAATAAAGTCGTTTTTTCAAAAAAAATATAGCAAATTTCCTCATGACAATTATAGATGGAATAGTATATAGGATATACTACCTCCGTCCCAAATTGATTTGCAAATTTGACTTTTCTTGGTCAAACAGTTTCATTTTATTTGTTTAATTAGGATATCAATTTATAATTACATTCTAATTTGAAGTTTACAACTTTGAAGAGATTTTAATGTAGTTTCTGAATATGTAAATTTTAATTATTAAAAATTGAATTAATTATCGATAGGGAGCATTTAGCTTTTTTATGGATTAACAAAAAAATGTTGATTTTGCAAAATAATTTGGGACGGAGAAAGTAATTGCTCAGGGGTTAAGGCCTACGTAGTACCCCGTATAATTTATTTCCTATGAATGAGTATTATAGCTACGGAGTGGACAGGTATATTTTTGGACGGTTGCTCAACTTGTTGGATCAAGTTTTTTATTCAATAGCCCTAGTCGGAATTGAGTATTCCGAGAGTTTGTTTTTATTTTTGTTTCATGTCATATTTTTGTAATATTTGGGTGGTTATAATTCATTCTTATTTTATTCACACTTTATTAATTCAATAATAATCACACAATTCCTCTTTTCTTAAAAGTTTGTGCCACACCCCTTGGTTCCAAATATACCGGAACGGAGGTAGTATTATTTATTGGTGTGAATGGATTTTAAGTTTTCCGAGTAATATGAGTAATGAAATTGTCCATCTCCATGCGAGAAATGCCATCGGGCATTACGGCCTGCTTCACAGCTCTGCCCAATTCTGTCGCTTTCTCCCTTAATGCCTCTCCTTCTCCGGACGCTATCAATCTCCTCACGACATTACGAATCGTCACCGATGATATTAAATCATCCCTTCGTTCCCAAACTTTGACGGCAATTCCAATCTTCAAAATCTCCGTCACTAGAACGGCATTCCGGGCTTGGTCGTACTGGATCGGCCATGTGGCCAGAGGCACTCCCCTGCATATGCTCTCCATGCATGAATTCCACCCGCAATGGCTTAAAAACCCACCCGTCGAGGGATGCTCCAATATCTCCAATTGCGGGACCCAGTCTCGTAGAATCAGGCCTCTCCCTCTCACTCTCTCCTCGTATCCTTCGGGCAGACTGATCTTGCTATTTGTCCCTCTCAGCACGTCTTTCACTGCCCAAATGAACCTATGTCCACTCTGTTCTAATCCTTCTGCTAGTTCGTTTAGTTGTTCGTCTGAGAACATTGTCAGAGTCCCGAAGGAGACAAAAACGACGGACTTTGGAGGCATTTTATCAAGCCAATCGAGACTATTGTGCCGGTTTGTTGTGTTGTCTGTTTCATATGATTCTGTGACTACCGGGTTGAACGGACCGATTCCCCAAACGTTTCCTTTTCGTAAGATCTTAGAGCATCTCGTGAGTAGGTCTAGATACGGACCCTCGACAGCTCTGCAAGCGTCGTAAAGATGACCCTTGGCGAAGTTATTGCCTTTTCTTTGATCCACAATGAACTTTAAGAAGTCAGGTGGGAAGCAGCTCTGTGTGGTTGGGAGACCATCTGGGATTATTGCCCCGGACGGAAGAATAAACTTGCCCATTAGCTTCCACAGAATTGATGGCATGTGGAGAACTTTTCGCCCAACTTCCCACACAAGCGAGGCATCGTGGAATGCCGCGCCCACATAGAAGTTGTAAGACTCTGTGTTTGGTATCAAAACGATGTCCTGCACGGCCGTAGCCATCAGGGCGTCGTTTACAACTACCAGTCTCTTGCATTTGCTCGACAACTCCCAAAGAAGTTCCCTGATTGGGCCGCGTAAATACGTGGCTGCTCTCATTGAGGAATCCACAATTTCCGAGTAGGCTTGGAATTCCTTGGTTGGGTTGGTAATAGATTGGAATGACGGAGGTGATTGGAACTCATGGAATCGGAGAGTTGGGTAGTCCTTTGGGTTCCATCCTTGGATGCGTTGTTTGGCTGTGACAATGTCCACGCTCAAACCGAGAAAATAAACAGGCAGATCGTAGGACGCGACAAGTCGAGACATGTGGACTAGAAGATTGATGTGGCCTTGTGCAGGAAATGGTACCACCACGACTATAACTTGTGTTTCCTTAGACTCCCCATTTTGTGAATCAGTTGGATGATTTTTTGAATCCATTTTTGGACTAGGGGAGGGCGTGCAAGATTTTTGGGATGCCTTTTCCTTCACTTACACATTCTGTTTCACCTTTTATGGACTTCATTTTGGCAGAAACAACACGTAATTACTAACCCCTATTTCATCTACTCTTTCAAGCCAAAAACTGGAATTACCAACTCCTATTTTATCTACTCTCTCCGAGCCAAAAACAGCAAGTAAGAAACTATACGGAATTACCAACCGCTTATTTCGTTGTGTTCATTTTGTTTTTTGTTACAAAAACTATGACCTCTTGGTTAAACAAACATTAACCATATAATTTTAATTTTCTTATTTCACACTCAACATAAAAAAAATAAGGTGACAAGATTATTAAGAAAAGTGAGTTTGTGTGGTTGATATTAAATTGATAAAGTAAGAATAAAGTAAAAAAGATTTAGAGCCACACAAACTTTACCAAATTTGATACGTAGTATGAGACAATCTTAGTGAGATTTCTCGAAATAGAGGGACGGATACTTTATTTGATGCTTTAGTGAACCATTTTGTTTTATTCCACCATAATCTCAAGCCAAAAAATAATGAATCTTTGGCTCCATTGCAAATGATGGAAACAATTTTGTAATGTGAATACAGAGTATTATATATGAATATTAGTATTGGTATATCATTTCATTTTGCTACAATATATTTTTATTTTATAGTGAGATTTGCATTTTTAATCCCGTAACTTTAGGCTATGACCGTTACTAGTCGTGCAACTTTATTCTCCGACAACTTTGGTCTTGCAACTAATACTAGTACGTAACGTACTAGTATTTCTTTGCAATTTAAGAACATGTCTACTAGAAAGTACACTATATGCCGAGAATCCAACGTCCATGACATATTTTCCGATACTTTTTGTCCACACTTTATACTCCCTCCGGTCCTAAATAAACTTCACACTCTGACTTCACACAAATTAAAGAAATAAATTTGACTTTACTATAGAGTACACTGTTTTGACACTGTTTGACACTGTCTGGCACTGTTTTGCACTGTTTTGATGTAGATAATTTGCCAAATAAGGAAGGAAGAAGAAGAAGTGTGAAGTTTATTTTGGACCTACCCAAAATGGAAAGTGTGAAGTTTATTTAGGAGCGGAGGGAGTACGTGATATCTTTATACTCCCTCCGTCCCGGAATTATCTTCATTATTTCCTTTTCGGTACGTCCCAAATTTATCTCCTTTTTTCCTTTTTGGTAAAGAATATGTGGTTCATAACCATTCTTACACATTTCTCTCACATCTGCATAACTCTCCATCACACAAATCCCACTATCTTAAAACTCGTGCCCGATCATAACCGGAGTTAAATATGGGACAGAGGGAGTACATATTATATCCCCGCTCAAGTGTGGCGCCCTTGAATCTCAATGTGTTTTTACGTATGCTTTTCCTAGTCAACGTAATTTTTATAAGCCGTCCTTAATTGTACTGCATATAGTCATGGTTTGAAGTATCGCACCACGTTAGAATGCTTTGTAAGATTGATTGATTACACACATGGACATTTTTATTATTTGAATGTAACGCCTTCGCTTTTGATTATGGCCTTTGGGTTTCAGATTTTGAGTTATCGATCCATTTCTCTGTTTTCTACTTCACATGTTCTTAAACAACTCTTAAAATTTTCCCCACTCTACTTTTCGTAGTAGGGCACTTGGCTCTTAAGTATATAAAAAAATATATGGTACAAGGCGGCTATGTATCATGCGTACGGTACAATCAGGTATTTTAGTTTATATTTAATGAGTATATAGCTTAAATGAAATGAGTATTAGTATTAAATTATAAAATTAGCACAATAAATATTTTTGGTAACAATACAATGATAATATAGTTAAATGAATAAGTTGATTTTTAGCATATATATCACACGTAGACATGAGGTCAAATGCATTAATGGTACATTAACTATTAGTAATGTTGCATTTTGGTACCATAGGCATACATAAATGTTTCAACTTGAGATTTTATTCAAATTTTCGATCAAAAAATCACACGTGGCGTTCGAATTTTTATGCGTAAGGTTTACTTCACATTATTTTTGTCCACGTGATTACTGTAGGGTGACTCCATACATGGAATTTTGATAGCCAGGAAAGAATTTTTGGCCGTAAATTTGAAAAAAAAATCTTAAATTGAAACATTTATGTATAATTATGGTACTGATTTGATTCATTTAAGAGCTAAGCTACCAAAACGCAACAATAACAATAATTAAGGTACCATTTATGCATTTGACTCAGATCATAGTACTCTATTGCACACTTCTATACTCAATGGTGCTACCAAAACAATCATTTAATACTAATGTTCATTTCGTTTAACGTTATACTCATTAGGTATAAGAAAAAACACTACATTGTACTATATGGTGATTACCGTACATCCGGATGTACGATATACATACTCTTAAATATATTGATCTACGGTTCTGTTTGGCTTTGTGTATCCAAAGTATTTATTTTGGTTTGACTTATTTATTGCAGCCAAAGTACCTGCCATGATTTAAACGGTATGTTTATTGACGAACTCTATAGACCTCTTTTTGTTTTGTTTTTAAAAAATCGTTTTCTTTGGGCGTAATTATGTTGTTTCATTGAATTCAGGAAAAATAGAGACCAGTGCCGATATTGTGTTACGGACTTACTGGTGATGTTCATGAGTGGAACTAGGAGTGAGCATGTTGTCGTAGTACGCAAATTCACTTGTTGTTCCAAAAGGCGGAGAGGGTGGAATCCCCCTCCCAGGAGCCTCACATCCGACCCGACAGAATGGTGGAAGAGTAAGCTACGGTGATTTAGTTGGTCCAATGGTGATAGACCTTGTACTCGTGCGCATCAGAGGTTCAGCACAACACGCATGAGCTATAACCTCTACACGGTTGCCGTGAGTTTTGAACCTTGATCATTAATCCAAATTTCCTATCACTCAAGCAATTGAGCTACCCGTGCAGGTCTAGTACGCAAATTCACAAGTAGAAGACCAAATGTCCTTTCACACACTTCGTTGTATAGTTCTAAATTGATTCTAATTTATTCTTTAGTAGTTTAATACTAATCATATAAAATCATTTTTTAATAATCATGACACCTCGGGACGGCTAGGTCATCCTAGAGTTTGGTGCGGCAGTTTCTTTGCTCGCGGGGAGTTTGGTAAGGTAGTTTTCACGCCAGCTTGATACCAAAGTTTCAGTGCGGCTATCTCCTTCCACTTGCAGTAATCCGTTCGCAGCAGTTCGTTTCCCACATAGTGAAGATTTCTCTCGGCGAGATGGTGTCCAGCAGAATTGATGTGCGGAAGAAATCAAGTAGGCTGCCGGTTCGACGTCAACACAGGGCAGGTCCCCACACAGTACGCGATCGTGGATCTGCGTCGACTAGGGTTGCAAGACCAGTTTGTACAATGTTTTTTGGCTATTCTGACTCCGCTGGTGTCTGAGATGGAAGTTGTACCAACTGTGTTTGATCTGGGTGGAATGCTGGAGGGATGGGCCCCGATTAAAAGGGGCGAAATTGGGCTCCTTTCGGTTGTCGGGGGATCGACGCAGTTGTTTTGGCCGCCTCAAGTAGTGGAGGAAGAAGATGATATGTGGATGATTCGTCCCCCTCCTGAATCACCGCCACAAAAGAATGGTGTGACTACGGCCTGGAAGACAATGCTTGAAGAATGGATTCCACGGTTCCAACAGTTGAAGTTTATTTAATTTTGCTATGCTCTGTTTGCTCATTTTTACTATATTTTTATTAGGTCAAATAATAAGGGTGGTAGGTTCTTAGATTAGTTTTCTTTAGTTGATAGATTTCTGGTGAGAGGTAATCAGACCGAGTTAGCCGCTAATAGCCTCATAACTCTCACATTTTCAGCGATTAATCCCGCTCATTTTGGGGTGGACTATTATCTATATCTAATAAAGAAGTAGGGGGGGCAATGGGCTTATGGTTATGTTTGTCTAGAGAGAGGTTAGTGTCAGATGGTTACTTTATGTTTTACAATTCTTTTGATTGTACTGCGAGTTTGAGTTAATATAATTTGATAGTTTCCAGTCAAAGAATAATCATGACACCTCTAATATTCAAATTTTAGTGGAATAGAGGTAGTATAAGATCTGATGGACTAACCCGCACGGGTAGCTCAGTTGGTTCAGTGGTGGGAAATTTGGACCAATTGACCAAGGTTCGAAACCCGCAGCGGCCGTGTGGAGGTCACAGAACCTGAAATAAGGCTGGGCCTCTGGTGCGCACGGGAAAAAGGCCTACCATCATTGAACCGACTGAGTCACCGTGATTAACATCCTCCCAAAAATCCTGTCGGGTCGGGGTATGAGGAGCTCCTAGGGTGGGAGATTCCACCTTTTGGACCAAGATCTGATGGACTGGGTCATAAACGTAAAGAAGGTGTCTTGCTTGTGGATTAGGTGATCGACCTAACACTTCCAATAAAATACTCCGTACTCTTTAGATGTCCCATCAATTACACCAAACACTCAAAAAAGACTTCATAAAAGCTCTTTGTACGCAGTGAAAAATTATGTTCGCAAACAATTACTCCGTACTATCTTCGGCCCATTAAGTTTGAGACGGTTCGATTTATTTTTTAGAAGTCTTTATGACTTACTATCTTCGGCCCATTATCTTCGGCCCATTAAAAGTCTTTATAACTATCTTATTGATCGACGATAAAACAAACAGATCATTGTTCGTTCTCAAATTATTTTTTAGAAAAAATACATATTTAGAAATTACATTAAAAACTTTACAAAGTCACAAATACCATAATCAAATTTGATAAAAATTTGATATATAAAGTAAGAGATTAAAAATAATTTGTTCCGACCAAATGAATAATGCCTAGGACAATCTTAGCGGGATGGAGGGAGTACTACGAAGTAAAATTATGATTTAAAAAGTGACTTTTTAAATTGATTTTGGAGAAAGTGCTTAATATTAAAAGTTGATAGTGTTTGAGAAAAAATTGATTTTGAAAAATAATA